CCGTGAATGCCGTAACGATGGGTCTGTGTTCGAACCCCGGAGAAGGCATGGTTATAGCTGCCCGTCCTTTTTCAGCAGGCAACGGTGGCCACCTGTTAGGTGCTTCCATTATGAAATGGCCATCACTTTCGGCCCCTGTATTGGCCCAAGGCTAATGGCTATTAAATAAAGCTCCCGGCCATTAAAAAAACTGAAAATTCAACAGATTTAAATGAGAGCATCTTTTCCTCAAGACATTTACTTAACTGTATCACCGTAACAACTAATTCATCATATCATCCACTTTAACGGCTTGATTACCTTCGTGATTGATAATCAGCATCTTAACATTGAATTAGCAATAACACATCTGTTCCTTTGTCAAAAGGAGAAAAGTCCAGTTACGCATTCAAGCAGAGAATATTGACCTCCATTTGTGAAAGAGCGTAACACCGGATAGAAAGCAACCTCGAATGGCAAGAACATAAAAAAGAGAAGGGGAAAAAAAAAGTGAGATAAAAATCTGTTACGCGTAAAAACAGATCACCTACCCTTTCTGAATAAACAAAGGACTGGAGCACGCGCTACAAAGAGAGTGAGATGAAATTGAGAGATTGTTATTCTAAATAGCTTTGTTTTATTGTCTCCTTAATTAAACATCTCCTTGGCACAAGAGTAGATAGCTGGTAAACTTAAAGCTCATTCTTTCAGACTTCTAATTATAGTATTTTCCTTTGAGAAAGGGGAAATATACGACACACTTTCTATATAGAAAGTCTAAATTTGTTACATGCAAATTTTTCTTTTAGAACTATAGAGATGAATTTTAATATATCAGTGTCTCAATAAGAGATATACTTTGTTTTTCAAGGAAAGCAAATGCAAGAAAAAGTTCAAAGCTTTGACAATGAACTAGTTTTCGAAATGCCATATATCTTTATTATTCTATAAATTCTTCATTTGCTAGAATTCATATACGAAACTAACACAGATAATGCTGATAATCCTTCTTATTAGAAGCGAAAGCATGTTGCATAGTTCTAAGCAGGCAGAAGTTCATCAAAAGACTAGCTGCTAGTATTTTTTAACTTCAAGTGTATTCCCAAATAGTTAATAACAAAAGAAAAGTTGAAATAGTTGCACTTTATGCCATTAAAAGATTGTCCAAAATATAACAAGAATTTATGAACGATAAAAGCATTTTTGATATCTCTGTATGAGAAAAACTTAGAAGGTATTTTCTCTCTCCTTTCTGTGTAACCTCCCTTTTCTGTCTGGCATTCACTGTGTAACTGATAATATACCCGACGCATAATCGAGAGGTGCGGAGTTCAAATCCCGGCGAAAGTATTGGAGATTTCTTCAATTTTCTGTCTTCGGAAAATTCTTATTATGCTGAAAAGGAATTCTTTTCATTTACACTCATATACAAAAGTCGTTTCGCGAGCCTTTGAACTAAAAAGATTTAGAAACAGCTTATCTTTAGAATTTTCAATAGATAGTCTCGCGGGCTGGAAATAAAAATATTTTATTCCGTACAGTGTTGCCACTGCTCGCTTTGAAATCGTTGAGTTTGCTAATCAAAAATTCGTTAAAGTTTCACAAAATATGATATAGATAATAAAACAAATTCCAAATTCGGGCTTCCAGGTGCCCATATTCGGGTGGATTATTCAAAATTTGATGGCTCAGTTACCGTTGTTTTTTTGGCAGTGCGAGAAACATATATATATTCGTACAGATTCACTATTATTTAATTTCTTTAAACACAATACGGGGCGATAATAACAATTTGAAAAGCGAGTCAATGCTTTTAGTGATTCGCCGCAAAATGCCGTCTCGAGACTAACAGCTCTTCTGGTCTAACGCCCTTTGGGCTAAAAAGATTCTACAAGTGGCTCCCGAACTAAGAGGTGATGGACGGTAATTCGTCAGCACCAGGATTTTTTGACTGGCTCTCTTTAAAAGGGGCAATGTATTTAAGGTATTTCCCCCTTTTCTCAGAGACCCTTCGTGTTGTAACCGGATACCACGCCTGACGTGTAATCGAGAGATCTGGAATTTGTATTCCCGGGTAATAATTGCACGTTTTTCATGTCTCCTGCATCGATATAAACTAATGACTCTATAAACTTTCTATTCATGGCTTAGTGGTAGAGTTTTCACTACAGAGTGTTGGAGACTAGATTCAGTTCTTTACTTCAGCAAAGGCAAACACGAAACATTTGTTAACAACATCGTCTATCCGTTATAAAACACAGATACATTCCCGTTGTAAAAGGTATTTATAAAAAATGCCTAAAATCTTAATTTGATTATATGTTTAACAGCCCTAGCTATTTACTTGCATTTGGAGAATTCTTCAACATTAAGTGTATGTGTGTGTGTGTATGTATGTGATTACGGCAAAGCCTCGAAGGCTATCTGCCTAAAAAGGAGGGATGTCTTCGTGGAGGACTTTCTAAGGGAAACTGACTCGTATACACGTTACACATGGAGAAAACTACGAAAACGCCCATGCAGCCAGCCCTTTCGCGGGATTGAAACCTCGGACCGAACTACCAGTGTTCAGCGACTTTACCGCTCGACCGCTGGTTGGCCTCTTCAACATTAAGATCACAAATTATATGAAAAGAGTTTCAATATTATCAGTGGGAGGGTTTCTTAAATATAAAATTTTAATTTTTACACGGTTCTTGTATAAATTCCGTTAAGTAAAATGTTATATTTGATGAGTTAAAAACAGAGAGTTCTGTACTTTAGCTTAGTAAAAAACTGGCGGAGATATTCGTGACCGAATTTATGATGATCACCTTTCACCACCAGTTAGAATACAAATTGAAAGATTTTCTTTTTAACCAAGTTCAGGAAGCACCACAAAAGGGGAAAAGTTAGACAATTAAGTGCTTCATATCAGGTAAAACAACATTCTTCAATAAATTTGTGATTGGTCCCACAAAAATATTAAGTATAAATATCTCAATCAAATTTGGCCAAATATCAAATAGAAACCAAATAAAAATACAGATTTACATAATTAGCCTAATCCTTCTAATATTACATACTTTTTGGCCCGCTCGTAGGTCGAGCGTATGGATATATTCGCAGAAATTAATAACTAGAATATTCTTTAAGAATTCAAAACTCTCTGGATATGTTTATATGATATGCTCTCAAAGTACTGTCCTTTCATGCAAAATTTCATTTTAGCCAACAAAGTTATCGCATGTGGATCGTGAGGGGATATTTAAAACCAGTTATACATTTCTTAGCAATAAATTGTTTGACGATAATTTCTTAAGAAAGAACATTTTATTGCTTCGCTTTGTTTTTACACACAAAACAGTAAACATCAGCTGCATATTATTAAACGTTCTGGAATTTGTATTCATATACAGCGTGTAATAGAACTGACGGTTACATCTTTAAGAAGAGATCGAACGTGGCAAAAGTAACATATTTCGTAATGCAACACGTGACGGAATGCGAAATATGAAAGCGAAAATACAGTAAATATGAAGAACATGGAGAGCGAAACGTAATTTTAATCATGGATATTTATTATATTCAAATGAAAGATCACTATTGGCAATACATGACGATGAATCTCAATGCACACTGTTGAGGCTGTTAATTAAAAATTCTTTAAATTCGCCCGAAATAAAAAATAAGTAAAAAACAAATTCAAAATTTGGGCTTCGAGCAGCACATACTCGGGTAGAAGACTACATGTTCAGAGTTTGGTGGCTTTCGGTGCCACATTTCTCCCACAATGCGAGAAACAAACGCATACATGTATATATTTATGTTCTCCATTATTTGATAATTAAGATGATGACAATTAGACATATTACATGTGAAAGACACATTCGTTTTTAGTACGAATAGGTATCTTGAATCACTCAACCACTTAAAATTGAACTGAATTTGTTGGATTGCAGCAAAGCACAACACGACAGCCTAAGGAGGAAGCGATACTTTCAAGAGGACTTACTAAGTGAAACTGGCTAATATCCACGCCTCTAGAATGGGGAAATCCAAGAAAACTCCTATACAGCCCAAGACTTGGAGTCGGTTCGAACTACTACTGTAAAGCGGTTTTATCCTTTCAACTACTGATGGGCCTGATCATTTAGGAGATTCATGCAAAACCTATATTTTTTCGGAAAGGTTTCGTAGACAATTTTTTCTCGAAAATTTTCTGAAATTTACTTTAAACAACAGAATACAAATGAGACACTCGCCCATACCATTGGGTTTAGCTTATTCGATTGTGGCTGAGCACCATACGGTTATCCGTCTAAGGGAGCAGATGCCTTTGTAAAGATCTTTGAAGGAAAATGGCTCGTATCCACATTACAGATGAGAAAAACGACGAAAACGCCCGTGCATCAAGCGGGTTCGCCTGGAATCGAGCAAAATACCATTGGGAACCTTGGGTGAAATTACCCATATTTCAAAGGCCTTAGATGTTCGATCACATTTATTCGATATAAGTTTTATAGAAACAGTGACAGTGGCTGAAGCTTACCTCAGAAATTTCATTTTAGAAAAAAAAAAAAAAAAAAAAAAAAAAAAATCTGAGCTTAGAAAAATTTATTTTCATTAAATAGATACAAAGGTATAAAATATAAGCTCACATCTAATGTGTAACTTTGCTAATGCACAAATATTTTGCTAAATTCTAAAAGATTTGTATATTAATAATAACTGAAAAGTTTAATTCATAACATTCTTAAAATATGTTTCCATACTTTTGGCAACATAATCAAAGTTTCACTAATTCCCCCATAACATAAACAAATTTGGTGGCTTTTATTGTCCCTCCCTCCCCAAAAAGTACAATGTTACAAAAACCATTAGAAATTCATATGACATAATAAATAATACCACTCCACGATATTTTATATTGCGGAAGAAGAGGAATACTTCGAATAAATTATAAAAAGCATTTTGAAAACGGAAGGACATACTTTTTAAATTTCTTTTAAATACTAAGTAAAAATTTAAAATGAACTTACATTCGCCCGTGAGAAGTGTACAGATCCTGCATGCTTCATTTTGCCTAACTTGATAAAAGCACAATCACAGAATCACGAATGCTGCACCAAGCTGAGAAATGATGTGCTCGCGTTTTTTGAAGAGAAAGCTCCAATACAGGGATGACAAGAAAGAATGACAAAAGATTTCAATCTCGAGCTGATACCCTTTATAGACCACGAGCCAATCCTTTTGGGCGTCTGCTTCCCTTTCATATTTGGGGCAGACTCAAGGTTAGTGAACAAGAACGATCCTCCCGCCGCAGGGTGGATGGAATGAATTTGGAAGAGTTTTAAACAAAAAATAAAAATCAAAACTGTGCCATCTCGAGCGTTTATAATGAGGCGGGATCCGAACCAATTAGAAGTCCCTTTCTAATCCGCCTGTATGGCGATAACATTCAACAAATTTGGTATAGGGAAAGAGGCATAGAGAGTTTCATGGCTTTGCATACTAACAAAAATGTGTCGTTTCTTAATAAACATTTATCGATAACATTTAAACTTCCAGTCTAGTCAATGACTGCAATTTGTACAGCATAAGAAAAAGCAGTCATGTGATCATATCATGAGCATTCATTTTTGGAATTAATGTTTTCAGTGCTGCGAAACGGAGAACATGTAACCAATAACTGAATACAATGGATAAATTTTCCGGTAAGAGAGTCAATGATTATACACATTGCGAGTTTAAAGCTTCGCATTAATACCCAATACACGCTGAAGAAAGAGAAAATTAAAATTAGCAAAAATATTCTGTACGGTTATTAAGCTTTAGATGAGGAGTTTGAAGTATTACATAAGCTTTGCCATTGTTCGTTAAACAATGTGGTATAAAAAGAAATCATAGCTATTATTAAGTGCTGTTTAAGACTGGTTTTTATAGGTTAAACAAACCTATAAAAGATACTTCAATTCCATTTATCATTAAATGCATTTGAATATATTAGCTATTTTATGTTAGTATAGTAAATGTATAAATGAACATATTTTAGTTCAGCTAGTATTCTGAAATCCAAACTGAAATAATTTAAGTTAATCGGAATGGCAAAGGCTCTCTGCCTAATGAAAACGATGCCTTCGTAGAAGATTTTCTAAGTGAAACTGCCTCGTATTCACGTTACACATGAGGAAAATAACGGAAAAAAACCATGCATCCTGCCCATTCGTTAGGGATTGAATCCCGGTCAGTATTCTCAATATTTAACAGTCAAAACACTCGGCCACTGGCGAAACTAAAATAATAAAAAAGCAAATAAAACTGTTTTATAAAATTATAACGGTTTTAGCTTCGGATAGAAAACAGAATCTTCTCACAGTGGGTAGTTGCTGTTATTACAATTATATACCTCCATAACTGACTCGGACTCACACCCAATATGTCTTCTCTGCGAATAGGTACCCTTACCACCTGACCTACCCAGAGCTAACAAATAATTTCCATCTCTATACTGCTAGTGACAGAATTCGAATGGTTTGATCTTAACTAGTTAGTCTGATTGTGGTATAATCAGATACGTCCTTCATAAGATAAAATATTTATTCCCATGAATATATAAATAAATATTTAATGAAAAAATAAGTGAAATCATTAAAAATTTAGTACCTTTACTCACATATCAAGTTTTCAAATAAGGAAATCGAGTGATATAAGCACGCAACTGCAAGTAACATTATGAAAATCAATTTAAGTAATTAATCTGTGAAAAATGATAGGAGTTTTTAAATAGCATTAACTGGAAAAGCACTATATGTATAAATTAATTCCACAAACATTGTTGCCTGGTTACGAAGCATTTGACATAGCTGGGCAAAATGAAATTGCAAATGCAATTACAATTTAATCATAATTATGTAACTGTAATTAGATTTACACAGTTACTTAATAATTACAATTACAGTGCAACTGCTTTTTATAATTACAGTTACAATGTAACTGTGTAATCTCATTACAATTTCACGAAAACTGTGTTGTAAATTATTTCCCCCTTCCTTTCCGCGTGACTTCGTTGTGCAATTGGAAGCATGCCTGGCTGTAGCAGCTGGGAGGCCCGAAGTTAGAATCCCGATGGTTCTGTACATTTTTTACGTCTCCTGCTCCGAAAGAAATACTTGAGATCTCTACAGTGGCGCCCGAATCAAAAAGGTGGTGGGCAATAATTCAATACCATTAGGATTTGGCGAATGCGATCCCTCCACCCCAGTAGCATTTTTAGTGGAGAAGAATGTAAGTAATTTTCTTCTTCCTGGCCACATGCCTTCATGGTGTAATTAGAAGCACGTCCAACTTCGAGAGGTCAGGTGTTCGAATCCCAGCAAAGGCATCTAAATTTTTCGCTGTTTTGAGTAGCAAGTTATTAAATGGCGCGAAAGAATGGTTGCCTGCAAGAGAAATATCAATATTTTTCGCCTGGAATCATCTAGCATGCATTGTAGTTTGTAGCAGGACATAAATTCTGAAATAATGTGTTACCAAATACACTGAAGTGACAAAAGTCATGGGATAGCAATATGCAAATATACAGATGGCAGTAGCATCGGGTAAAAAATGTATAAATACGAAGTGCTTTGGCAGGGCTTTTATTTGTGTTCAAGTTATTCATGTGAAGAGGCTTTGACGTGATTATGGCCGCACGACGAGAATTAACAGACTTTGAACGCGAAATGGTAGTTGGGGCTAGACGCATGGGTCATTCCATTTCGGATATCATTAGGGAATTCAACATTCCGAGATCCACAGTGTCAAGAGTGTATCGAGAGTATCTAATTTCAGGCATAACATCGCATCATGGACAGCGCAGTGGCCGACCACCTACACTTAACGACCGAGACCAGCGACGTCTGCGTAGAGTTGTCAATGTTCACAGACAAGCAACACTGCGTCAAATAACCGCAGAAATCAATGTGGGACGTACGAGGGACGTGTCTGATAGGACAGTGCGGCGAAATTCGTCTTCATTGGGCTATGCCAGCAGAAGACCGACTCGAGTTCTTTTTACTGACAGCACGACATCGCCTGCAGCGACTCTCATGGGCTCGTGAGCATATCGGTTGGTCCCTAAACGAATGGAAAACCGTGGCTTGGTCAGATGAGTCACGATTTCAGTTGGTAAGAGCTGATGGTAGGGTTCGAGTGTGGTGCAGATCCCACGAAGCCATGGACCCAAGTTGTCAACAAGGCACTGTTCAAGCTGGTGGTGGTTCCATAATGGTCTGGGCTGTTTTTACATGGCATGGACTCGATCCTCTGGTGCAACTGAACCGATCATTGACTGGAAATGGATACCTTCAGCTACTTGGAGATCACTTACAGCCATTCATGGACTTCACGTACTCAAACAATGATGGGATTTTTATGGATGACAATGCGCCATGTCACCGGGCCACAATTGTTCGCGATTGGTTAGAAGAACATTCTGGACAATTCCAGCGAATGATCCAGCCTAGATCGCCCGACATGAATCCCATCGAACATTTATGAGACATCATCGAGAGGTCAGTTCGTGCCCAAAACCCTGCACCGTCAACACTTTCACAATTATGGACGTCTATAGAAGCAGCATGGCTCAATATTCCTGCAGGGGCTTCCAAAGACTTGTTGAGTCCATGCCACGTCGAGTTGCTGCACTTCGCCGAGCAAAAGGAGGACCGACAAAATATTAGAAGTTATCCCATGACTTTTGTCACTTCAGTGTATTATGCACACGGTCCATAAATATAGTTAAAGCGGAATGTATTTACAGGAAATATTTCGGTCATTTCGCATTGAAGTAAATACAAGTAACTTTGTTAAGCAAAATGATTGTTTATATTGTTCGCCGATTGACTTATGGAATTGTATTATCACGCACACTGAAAGCATATGGAACGAAAAGCCTTAACGGAAGCTTTGTTAATGGAAACGCCTGGTCCTTTGATTACTATTGTTATTGTTATTACACAAGTCCTTTTATTATTATTATTATTATTTTTACACATAATAAATCTCGGATGCTTTATAAGTCCATTTCCATTTTCCGCTGTTATACTGGACTCAGCCTGCGTGGATTGCAGGTTTTTTGCCAGTTGTCCAACATGGGTTCCTAGAAGCACCTAAAACGAAACAAAAGGTGTTACAGAGACAAGATGTAATAATAAGAGAACACTCTAAATTCGAAAGAGTCCTATCCGACTCTAAAGGAGTGATATCCCACCTCCCTCTAATGCCAAAATGGCACCAACCTCGAAGGAGCGATATTTCACTCTAGTAAAAAGCGGTCCCTTTTCACACAAAAACAGGAGTGACCCTTTCTTCGTTCGCTCTTCTTCGATAGTCAGATATCGCCCGATATTCGGGTGAAACCACACACATTACAAGGAGTTATAATAATAGTCTGCTCACTCCTTGATGGTGCGATTTTTATATAATTATTTTATAGGCAAACTGAAAATTGGTATTTGCTATGTAAACTTTATAGCTGATGTATTGTTTTAGATATCTGGTTAATATTATCTCTTGAAAAAAAATATTTTACATTACTTTTTAACATGCTATTGTGATTTTAATTATCTGATATATACATCTGTTTTAGATTTGCTACCTATGTACTTACTTAAACATTTATTGGTGATGAGATTTCTTTCCAGATCTAACGAAATATACATATGAAAAAAATTACATCCATATTAAAATATTGGAAATTCGGTGTAGTTAACATTCTGAAATACTTAAAACTATCACTTTCTCACAGAATATATTTTATTTTACAGAAACATGGCTTTTGCCTTTATGTGTAGTAAGCAATAAAAATAAGAACGTCAATGCAACTTATATATAAAAACTGGATTATGAATCAAAGTAGACCATCACTGAAATAAAAAAAACACAGTTTAAAGACAATCATATCTTCATTGTTTAGACATATAGTTTTTCTTTCCAAATCTAACGAAATATACATATAAAAAAATTACATCCATATTAAAATATTGGAAATTCGGTGTAGTTAACATTCTGAAATACTTAACACTATCACTTCCTCACAGTACTCCTGATGTGAAATTACTTTGAACTCACAGAATATATTTTATTTTACAGAAACATGGCTTTTACCTTTATGTGTAGTAAGCAATAAAAATAAGAACGTCAATGCAACTTATATATAAAAACTGGAATAGCAAGATATTCGCAATGAAAAACTTAACTTTTGAATAAAAAATAAGGTTTTTCAGGTACTTAAAACTTTGAATAAATATTTCAGATATTTTCAAAATTTGATTTGAGAAATCAAAAAATGCTTAGTTTCATAAAAGAAATTTAAAAAAATCATTTTAGATGAATCATATATATATATATATATATATAGTGATATACATTCTAAATTTTGTATACATATTTTAATTTAAAAAAGCAAATTATGCTTATTCACAAGATTTGGGCACGTAATCATGTAAATTGTAAGCTAAATTTTCCATTAAATAATCATTCTAGTTGGAAAAGTAATTTATTAAAAATAGTTCTTGACAAATTTTAATAATGAAAATTTGAATGTGTTAGAACAGCTGATCATATATATATGTGTCAGTAAACCTGTATCATAATCTGATAGATTTAACTTCTTAAAATGCTACTTATAAGTGACTATATTAATACAATTTGTGAATTGATGTTACTAGTAGTTTGTCTACTTGAGCATAATATGCATAAAAAATCGAATAATAAATTTTAATATACATTGAAGTAAGAAACAAATGCGAATTTAATTTCCCTTACATGAAAACTATTCAGCTTTATTTTTAATGTATGAGATTCCGAAAATAAGTAACCATAAAATACTCTCATGCTATTGTTTTTAGCTTCATATATTGCACAAAATATTGCAAAAGAAATGTTTCTATTTCTTATTACATAATTATGAAGAGCTTAAAATTAATTATTACCCCAAATTATGAATAAAGTCTAAAATCTTCAGTTTTAGAAGCATTTTCATGCCTAAATGCCTATTCATTCTTAAAGCATGCCTTCAGCATTTGGGAAAAATAAAGTAAATTTTAAAGTGAAATAATATGGATTATAGCTCACATGTGTAAGCTAAAAATTCATTTTTCATAATTCTGCTGAAAATTATTATGTATTTCATTTATTGATTAAATCCGAATAGGAATCATTACCATAACTGCAGAATTATAATAATTTCAATGAACAAAGTATTTTAAATATAAGTGAAAACAAGCATTGCATAAAAAACTCTTTATTAGGAAATATATGTACATATATATACATATATGAAAATGGAAAATATGACACTAAAATGACATTAAAAATATGAAATGTAATGCATGTACAAAATGCAATAAATTCAGACTCGAAAATGTATTTAAAGAGTCCACACAAGCTCTAGGAGTGCTGACATTATACAAAAGGCTTGCCACAAAATTATAAAAATTTGTTGATGTATGTGCATATTGAACGCTAAATACAAAATTAGTTTTAAATAGAACGTCAAATGCCTTCATGGCATGATTTGGGCATGCTTTTAAGTGATTTACTGCTTTAATATAGAATAAACTTGTAATACACACTATAATGGGCTGTTTATTCTGAGCTGGTCCAAGAGATTCCATGTCTTCTATTCCCTGAAAATAAATTTCTTTATTAAGAATACATCCATTACCTATCTATTAGGACAAGTCAAATACCAATGAGCCATACTAGAAAGTTTATCTTTCCAATTAAAAAATATCGCCAGAAAATTTTTTCTTCTTTCAAAAATAAGTAATTCCTAGTAATTTTATTCACATAGAGGTCTTTTGCTTTTAGTTTCTGTAAAAATGCAGTATAAATACATATAGGAATATGTAAATATTATATTGATGCAAATATAAAATAGGATAGTCTATCTGTGCGTTGCTTCTTAATGAAAAATGTAATAAATAATGTACATAAAAATGTAAAAAGAACAAAACTATATGGAGAATTAGTCTGTCTTTTCCTTATGAAAACAAGTATCATCCCTTCATAATAAACTATTGTTGTTCATAATAAACTATTGTTATTGTAAAGATGTTTGTTCTTGATTTCATGATCGCTATAGTCTGGCTGGAAGTGTATCTTTTGAATTTCACCTTGAAGCAATTTTTCCATCACTTTACAAGTTTAAAAAAAAAAAAAAAAAAAAAAAAAAAAAAAAAAGAAAAAAATCTATGTTCACTGTATATACATGCATATATATGATTAGTGTCATGCTTTAGATTTAGATCATATAAAGGCATCACACATATTACAAACCATCTTATTCTCTCGAAATATTTGCTAGTATGTAGGTGACATTCAAATCAATGCAATTCCAATTCTACAGAAATTAGCTAAATGACCATGCATCATCTGTGGGTACAATAGTCGAAAGCAGCCTGAGAAGATGAATTTTAGCCACATGAGGCCAAATACATTCACTGTTGTAAAATGGCTCATTTTAATATAATCTGCCCTCTTAAAATGAAAGTTAGTGCAAAGCATATCAAAATTCCTCAATACTTACATTTAGCAAATATTAGAAGTGCAGAATTTGGATTTTTTTTTTTTTTTTTTTTTTTTTTTTTTTTCAAATAACAGTCCTGATGCTAAAATACTTGCTTTGCCTTTACCCTACAAAAATAAAAATAAAAGTATATATAAAAGACATATACTGGATAAAAATTGCATGTGAAATGTAATAATTAATTGAAACTATATAAATATCACACATGAACCTTTCAAGATAGAATATGTAGCAAATTTCAAAGTATATGCAGCTCAGCTCACTTACATATAGTATCAATAGCTTATTTACATATACATACACTGCAAACTAAAAATATTATCCTATGAAAAGAATTTTATAGCTAAGCATATGAAATTATTTTTTATGCATAGACTTATGCCAAATATTTACTCATTAATAATGAATAAAACCTTTTTCCCTCTTTCTTTCCAATAATTTTAGCTGAGCAAAAGTTCTGTGAGCAAAACTAATGCTTTTAGGTCATCTATATATATAAATACACACGTTTATTACATAATGATTACAAAAATATCATTAAAAAGGCCTTTGGCACTAGAGGCGCATGCATTTACAGCTTATCTTTAAGAGCCAGAAAGAAAAAACTATAAGCCATTTAAGAATAAGATGCAAAATTACTTTACTCTAGGTAATTAAAATAATAGAGTAATAGATGCAAAATTACTTTACTCTAGGTAATTAAAAAGTAAACAAAGAAAAGTTTTAAAGTATTCTATCATTTATAATCCTAATTAAATTCTATCATTTATAATCCTAGTTGAATTTTTAAAGATTTTTACCACTGAAATCAGCAATACTTGGTACCAGAAGATCAGGGCGTTTGTTTCCACATATTTCAAAATTCTTGGGACATAAAAAGATGAAAACTGTTTTTTAAATGTCTATCATTAGAAATTGTTTCAGTTTCTATACAATTTCTTACATGGCTGTTAGACAAAACCATTTCAATTGTTTTTATGACTGAAACATACTGAAATGTTTCTTTTACAATTTTGGTTTCAAATTGACCTGTTTTTGTATTCAGAGCTTGATCCAATCTACTGCCAAGCATAATTTCGACAGCTTTTCAAAGCCTTTATTTGTCCTTTAGTTGCTGACATGCCATCAAAAATCTGCCTAATGGGAAGGATGCCTCCGTGGAGGTCTTTGTAAGGCAAACTGGTTCGTATACACGTTACACATGGAGAAAACCACAAAAAAGTCCATGCAGCCAGCTCCTTCATGCGATTCAAACTCTGGACCGAACTACCAGTGCTCAGCGACTTTGCCGCTGGTTGGTAATATTTAGGGGATGTGCATTAATGTTCGGAGAAAAAAAGCATGATATTAAGCATTTGTAAGAAAACAGCCTGTTAAACATGGTATTTAGGACATATAAATTAAAATGAGCGCAGGGGCGTAGCTAGAGGGGGGCAAGGGGCATCTGTCCCCGGGCGCAGGATCCAAAGGGCGCCAAACTGATGTTACGGCATTTTAGAATTAAATGTTTTCCATCCTTGGGAAGCTGTAGGGGACGCGAAATCTTCAGTTGTCCCTGGGCGCTGAAAACCCTAGGTACGACTCTGAATGAGCAGCAAGAAATATAATATTAAGCATACGTAAGTAAAATTTACATAAAGTAAATATTAGTTACTGAAATCAATTTGGCCTTCCCCCATTTTCTCAAAATTGTTCCAAAAACTGTTCCGTTAAGAAAATTTTCGGCAACATATTATCTTAGAAGGAAACATTCTTTAAACGCAATTTAATAGTTTCTTTGACTGTATCTCAACCATTATGCTTAATTTCATGCCGAGACAAGTACTCGAGTATGCAGTTTTGTAAATTTTCTTTGCAAACACTTTAAAATCACTTTTAGGAAACATAGCACGGAAATCAGACAAAATAATAATAAATTGAGAAAAAATGACACATGCAAATAAATTTTGAACAGCAGCGAAAGAAAGCGAGGAGGCCGCAAGAGAATTCTACCAGCTTTGTGCTTTTGCAGCGTTTACATTTACTGGATTCTTTGCGGTAGTGTTTTCGAAGGCAGGTGGAAGGATGGTAACTTTGAACTTCTGCAGTTCATAAAATTTCAGAATGCAGTTCCAAATACTGATATACATCTGTAAATTTTTTTCATGACTGTTGCGAGAAGAATTTTGCAAAGTACAAATGGATTAAAAAACACCTAAGACTGAGAAATTGTACCATACTGTCTACAAATCAGCTGATAGAGTAGTAAATCAAACTTTTAGAATACTATTAATGATTTTGTGTATAAGGAAAACAAACAAAATAGTACTTTACGGTATTAGAATTAATGTTTTATTTCAAAAAATAAACCCAGATATTTTGTTTTTATATATATCATTTTGACATTTTATAGACTTTTTATTGTGCACTGAGTGAGGCAGCAAGAACTCTGGCTACACCTCTAACAGTGTTCACATAACTTAGTTATTGAAAATGTAAACAAGCTGTGTTACCTGAGTCTTTAAATCCTATCTAAACCAGAAAATGAATTCATATGAGTTTATTAAAATCAGGTTACTTACATTTCTTTCCTACTTTAAAGGACTGTGGATAAGAAAAGGTTTATAAGACTTGTTTGATACAACAATAGCTTTTGCTAATGTAAACGGTGTGGTGTATTTAATTATGGCAAAGCACACTAGGGCTATCTGCCTAAGAGGAGGGATGCCTTTCGTGGAGGACTTTCTAAGGGAAACTGGCTCGTATACACGTTACACATGGGGAAAACCACGAAAACACCCATGCAGCCAGCCCGTTCGCGGGATTCGAACCTCGGACCGAACTACCAGTGTTCAGCGACTTTACCGCTCGGCCGCTGGTGGGCCTTTGCTAATGTAAACAATTATATTATTTTGAACATTACTTCATCAGATCCTCACTCATTTTAATATCACTAGGAGAAGATATAATAACTAATTGAAATGAAAAGGCAATAATCTTGAAAAGTAATAAGTAAATGTCATTAGTTTAACTTTCTAACTATTGAGTTGATGTATATGAATTAATCTATGAATCATTTTAGAATTATCGTTTAAATTAGTATATATTTCGACAATTTTGAAAGTATGCCTGACAAGTTTTCTTAGAAGGGGGAAATAAATAAATAAAAATAACCCGTCGAATTAGGTTTTCTCCCGCAATAGAAGGGAGGGGAAGCTGTTTTTTAATTGTGCATTCTATTATCTGTTAATAAAATAAGTTAATTTTTTTAAATATGATAGGCGCTGCCACAAATATAAGGCAATATTGCTTAATTTTCATATTATAAAATAAAAATGCATCAAACATTTAGGTTTTATGGCTTACATATAAAAAGTCGTTTTGTTTCAGTTGAAATAAAAATGTTTAGATATAAACGAATTTTACTATTTAATTAAGTCTGAAAAAAACATGCCTTACATTTTTTAGAAATAAATACTGTTTTTTTTTTTTTTTTTAAATTTTCTTATTTGCTTTAAAAGAAATAAACATTTGGTGTACATATTATATATTGGCATATACGTATATTTGTCAGTAAATACATATTTAGCATAAAATAAATACATGTATATAGCATATAAAGTCAACTGAATATCTGGAATTTTCAAAAATCCGGACTAGGTATAGTTTTTAATTTAAAACAGAGTAGAAAATAAAATTACCTTTTAGGACATTAACAGCATCTTCGGGAACTTCTTGCAGTTATAAAAATCTGATAATTTTGAACTATCATGTAATGTCTCCTGAAAAAAAAAGTATTTTATTGTGCTACAGTTTAAAAAAAAGACAAGGGGCAGATAAATTTGACAATTTGCTGTGGCACAAGTATTAGGAATATAGAACCTATGTAGAATGGACAAGGTACTAAAATTTTATGCTTGGTCTTTGATTGAAAATGAATTCTTATTAAATAGTTACCTGCATGAATTACCTGGAATATTTAATAATACAATAGTTTCCAGTTTGTCATCAGAAAATCAAAACTTATTATTTTTTTTAAATAGCTGGTTCTTTTTTTTAGTCCAAAGGGGCAATTCTCCCAGAAGGACTGTTAATTTCGTTTTGGCATTTTGCATATATTTTGCATTTTGCATATTCCCGATATGTTTCATTTCAAATTGCTGCCACCAAACATTATATTTAAAGAAATTAAATAATGAAGAATCTTCATGAATGTATGTATGTTTCTCGCATTGTAATAAAACAACGGTACCTAGAGCCAACAAAATTTGAATAAGGTAATCTTCCATAGAATATGGGCATGTGGAAGCCCTAATTTGAATTTGAAATTGGTTTTATTATTTGCTTTATTATTTAATATTTTGTTTTGAATGTTCAAGAGGCCTTAGCTACACCTACACTCTCGAGAATAACAACATATTTGCAAAAATATAAGTTTTAGAATGCTGATATGACCCAGGTAGTGCTAGTATTTATATGTTGGAAAAATTCAGCTTTGCAACAGTAAGTGAATTTTATTGTCACAAACTATAAGCAGAATTTATAAAAAATGAAAGTTAAAAATCTATTAAAAACTACTAGAAGCTGAAAACGATATGAGTTCAATAGGAAATTCAGTAAAGTATACGGTTCTTATTTCTTCCAATACTACCAAATAATTTACACACTTGTGTTATAAAAAAAAATCAAAACTTTAGTATGCATTTTTTTTTTCCACCGCTGTTCTTCCTATTTGAAATAGGAATGCATGCAAAACTAAATTTAAATAATTAAATTCGATAGCTTTGTGTAAATTGTTCAAAAATAAAAATAATGTTAAGAATTATTTACAAAAAGTACCATCCATACGTACAACTTTCATTGTGTTAGCAGTACGTAATAAATAAAACTACGTTACAGCATTACACTCTTAAAGCAAATTTACAGACACCTAAAAAAAAAAGAGCAAACTAACTATAATTTATAATAATTAAGATATTTATATTAAGAAATAATTGTATATATTTTAAAAGCGAACTTACTTTTGGCAAAGGAGCTGTATCCATTGTTACGACTGTCCTCGCTTGAAATGGCGCTTAGCCAAAGAACGTTCTTTGGCTTAGCAAACTTGTTTGGTCAGTCTGGGTGGACGATGACAAGACAGGGGGTCGTCCTGCTCCTTCAATTCGCTTCCTTCCCCAAGGTTATTATTGCAAGTGGGAAACATGTTCTGCTACCAAGACAGTAAATTTGCGTTGTTTAACACGAAACGGAGCGAAAACTGCTGTCACCCTCCAAATCCCACTCTGCGAGATTTAGAGTGAAGATGTGGAAAATTGCCACTAAAGAGTGTTACATCGTGGGGTGGTGTAAAATACAAACCAGATACAAATATGCATTAAAACTTGCAATGATGGAAATCAAAAATAAAACATAGTTCATCAGATAATAAGTTCCATAATTAAATCTTGGTTAAATATGAGTACATACAGTATTTACAATATAAGGGTTAAAACTAAGTCAAAATTCTCCCCGTTTCGATAAAGTTATCGGAACTAAGGCTAAACTAAAAGTGGTTTATAATCTATTCAACTAAATCCGTGACCGGTCCCAGCGGGCAAAAATCTGATCTCTTAATCCTCTAGCTCAGAGTTTCTCAATCTTATTTTTCACCCCACGCACCCCTTTCACACCTGCCGGAAGTTCGATTCCCTTTTGGTAGATAGAATATGACAGTTTTGCGACATTTGCGGTGTGGGCGTGACCAATGACGTTTGCGGAAGGGAGTCTATGTGAAGTATGACATCACCGGAAGGGGTCCAGATTGTGGAGGAGTTCCCAGCAGATAAGAGAGAGTGTTTCAGGATTCTTCATATAACTGATAAGATAACGTCACACTTTGAGAAGAGATTATCTTTTCTTGATTTTCCGAAGTTTTCGTTAATGAATTTTTAGCTTTTGTATTTTTTCTTTGTAATCCAGCTATTTTATGATGGATAAGGTGGTTATTTCCTTGGTATCCTTAACAGCGCTTATTTTTGAATTTAAAGATTGATTCAGAATGTTTTAATTTTAGATGCAATTTGTTTTATGTTTCTGTATACTTTAATTCTTATGATTTCCTACTAAGAATTTTACCTTATTTTTTTTAATCTTCTGTTCATAGTACCAGATTTACTTTCCGTAATCTTAATTGTATTCATTATTTTTATTGCTTATTCCCTTTTACCGGAAATTATTTTCATGCCTTTTAACCAATACTCTTAACTCATTTGTTACAATTTACGAGCTTAATTATTCAGATCTGCGTTTCTATTTATTTATATTACTTAATTTTAGATGTAAAATTTAGCTTATTTGATACATTTTAGCCGTCATAATATTTAATGTACCCTAATTTTTAACTTATTTATTATATTTTTACACTATATACATGACTTTTATTTGATTTCTTTCATACATTTTAACCTTCATAATTTCCAATATAGTTTTAATTTTAACACAATTTCTATATTTTCAGATCATATACCTGACTTTTATTTAATTTTAGATATAAATTTTAACTTCTTTTCTACCTTTTAACGTTTTTAGTTTCCAACATACTCTGAATGGTAACTAATTTGCTATATTTTCACATTATGTTTATAACTTTCATTTAGTTTTTAACTAATTTTCCTCCGTTTCTAACAAATTTCGTACGTTTTTATCTTCGTAATTTCAAACAGGCTCTTATGTTTACCTTAATTCCTCGATTTTCTAACCATATATATGAACTTTATTTAATTTTAGATGGTTATTTTTAACGTGTTTCGTACATTTTGAACCTTCCTAATTCTTAAAGTACTCTAATTTTAAATTTGTTTATTACATTTTCCTACAATACACCTCTAACTTTTATTTAGTTTTAGATGTAAATTTTAATATCTTTTCTACTAACTTTGTTTAGTTTCCAACGTACTCTGATTTTTAACTAACTTGCTATATTATCACACTATGTACATGACTTTCATTTAATTTTTAACTGCTTTCAAACGTGTTAACCTTCATAATTTCAAACAGGCTCTTAATTTTAGCTTAATTTCTCTATTTTCTAACTATAAGCTGTATTGAATTTTAGATGCTATTTTTAACTTGTTTCGTACATTTCAAACCTTCGTAATTTTTAAACTACTCTAATTTTGAGCTTGTTTATCACATTTTTCTACCATATAAATTAATTTTAATTAATTTTAGATGTAATTTTAATACGTTTTAGATTTTTTTTTTTTTTTTTTTTTTATAATTTTCGATTGTAATTACGCATTTTATTTTACTATTTCAGCTAAATTTACATATTTAAATGTCTTAAACATAGAGATAGTTTTCAATAAAGCATTTTATTTTAGAACCGATAACTATTATTTATATCCAATGCGTTGAATAGCCCTTACTTGATAGTCTTTATAATACTATTTTAATTTGCCAATACTACAATTTATCATTCTGTAGCACTCTTACCATGACTGACTTTACTACTTTACCTCATTATTAACTTCATTCGCATTTTCAAACTTTAACATTTCCTGCATATTCTGATGTTTCCTTAAAGTTTTTACATCATTTTCATCTAAATGCATGCTTTTAAGCTCCTCAGTCATGCGAATGTTCGGTTTTGAATCTCGATTCTGATTAAGCTAACTTGATAGATTCCACATTTTTAGAATGAATTCACTACTTTCATGCATAATTTTAGAACCATATTCACAGTTCATGTATACATCCAGAAGTCTTTCTTGTTATTTTGAACGTTTAATACCTTACAATTCAGTATTTTTTGATAACTGACTACATTGAATACTATTACTTTTAAACTTTAAATATATCGACTATGTAAATTTTCACATTATTGCCTTTTTCCTGCACTAAGTACGGATATTTCTGCCTTCATCGACAACTTTCATGTGAAATTAACGATTATTTAAATTACACATACAAAAGAAATGACTATGATAAACATTTTCAGTATCGAATGAGAGGTCAATGACCATCGATTTTACCCATTGGTTATCATTTCAGCTCTTGAAATTTTGTTTAATCGATATAATTTTATTTCCAGTGTATAATGTTAACACATTTCTTCGAACCTAGTTCAGTTCCAACTAAATTTCCCTAGACAATCACATATATAGTCTATTTTTTAATTTCTTATACTAGGATTTTCTTTCGTGAGTGTCAGTTTTCATTAATTTATTTTCCAATTTATTCTGTAACGAACGAAATCTTGTAAAACACTACCATACCTTTACACAGCATATATCATTACCGATATATTTACATTTACAGAACGAACCAAAGAAAGAAACGGTAAGAGATATTTTGCCATAATCTCCGCTATATTTTCGAATATTTTAACTTTCATCCATCGCGAATACAGAAATTTATTCATAATAATAAGTGTTCAAGTTTCCTATAATTGTACATATAAGTTTGCATTATAGGAACATTCTATGCATGTTCGAGAACTGTAATTTAATTAATGCTGCTAAATATTACCTTTTTCTATGGCGAAAACTCCAAAGATCATTTAACTTTCCTCATTCATCTTTTCCTGCGGTATTTCCTCAGCAGCGAATACCTATCTGAGAACTATTTTCTTAAGAACACAATACGAAAAAAGTATTGTCCACTGTGGAATATTTAAAGCTTTAATCCAAATATGGATATAACCTTTATCGAATGTAAGTTATTTACGCAGAATTCCCAATAAGTTTTAGAAGATGTGCCATAGAAAGCGTATCTAAAAATGAGTCTTAACATATTCTTATCGGCTCCAGATTTACTATCAGTGGAACCTGAAGTTCACTTTGTCACCTTGTCAGTATATACTCAAAAATCACGAATTACTTTGCAGTGCAATTAGCACTTTGAGATACATTTAATACTAATTAATTAATTTTAATTAACTTTCAATTAGGATTTTTAAAAGAAAAGCATATTTACGCGACATACTATTAAATTATTCCCAAGCATTATTAAGGAAAATGCAATTAAATATCTACATACACACTACGAAAATCCCATTCATTAGGACAGAAAAAAATGTAAAATCTCGTAAGGCATTAGTATTAAACCTGAGTAACATATCATTTCCTATAATATGAAACAGTTGACAGCTTAGCTAAATAAAGATACAATTCAATATAAATAAAAAAAGTTTTATTAAAATACAGTAGACTCCCGATTATCCGCGCCTGCCGCACAAAGAGTTTTTTTTTTAACAAGCGTAAAGCAAAGGAAATAAAAATGTTCATAAAACTGAGCGAAATGTTAAATTTGCTAACATCGTGCTTATTTATAGGCAAAAATATCCCATGTCTTCTCGGAGCCTTCCGTCGGCCTTCTCGGAACCTTTCCCTCGGCCTTCTCGGAACCTTCCCCTCTGATCAATAAGTGATTTCTTACTAACCTTTGCAGTGCCCGCTCCACCGCCTTTTCTCGTCTTAATCTTACTGACACGTCCACTTCCTCCCACTCGCCATTGTTAGTTTAGGCCTTCGAGATTAGAATGTTTGCGAACCGGTCGGAGTTAAATTTTGGCTCCTATCTTTTAAGCTTGTCAAGTTCAGTGCTTGTGCGTTTTGGTTTTATGTTTTTCGTTACCGATTTAAAATGTCAGGAAAACGAAAGAAGGTTGTGTTGACGATTACGTAAAAACTAGAATTAATTTCCAAAGTAATCCCCAAAGTAAGTTCCAAAGTTCCACGATGAATTGTGAGGAAGGGGATGAAGATGTAGACACGCCCACGGCAACTCTTGCCGATATGGTGAAAACAGTTCCTGGTGGTGAGAACGTCGATGCTGAAAACATTAACGAGTGGTTGGAGTGTGACGTCTATGAACCTGGCTTCGAACGCTTGACAGATGACGAAATTGTGAAGAAAGCAAGCGGAGAGACCGAGAATGAAGGACAGCGAAGTGAAGGCGAAGAAGAGCCCACTGTGTAGATGCGGAAGACTCAAGAAGCGGCTTTGCAACAAGTCGACGAACTGCTGAGCTATTTGGAAGAACAAGACGACGCGGAGTTAGGCGAGAAACTTATGCTACGAAAAATGCAATCTCGAATCAAGAGAAAATGCTTCCAAAGCAAGAAGCAAACACAAATGACTGATTTCTTCAAAAAGGTGTAGTTTTACAGTTATGCTTTTGTAATTACATAATACATTACAGTATTAAATCAGTACATATCTATTAATTTTTCTGTGTATCCTTCACGCCTCTCGTAAGTACAAAGCACTTTTCTGTTTTCATTAATAAAATGCATTTTAGGTTAGTTTTGAGTGATATACTAAATTATTAAGCGTTAATTAAA